ATCATACACACAAATCATATATGCTGAATTTTAAATTGATATTCTATAGTTCTGTACTAGTTTGATCTCACGTGATACACTAAATTTTTTAAGAAAAAACTTAACTGCAAAATAAAAAGTTGATATTAGTCTTTAATAAAAGAAATTAAAAATTATATATGTTTATAAATGATAAAAACAAAATTATCGATTTCAGAAAAATTAAGCTGGGAAGCTGAGTTAAATATGCATATTAAGATATCAAATATTTTATTCAATGAAATAATAAAATTATTTCTTTTTAATTTCTTTTTAATGCATATTTTATGTGATCGGGGAGCTTTTTAATTTTTTATTTAATTATAAAATAATAAAATTATTTTTTATAAAAAAGAAATAATTTAGAATTCATTAAAAAGAAATTCTAGTTGATTCTTCCTTTTCATATCAATATTTTATTCAATGAAAAAACATTTTTTTTTATCATGGGTTCTTAATTCGATAAAAAAAAATAAAAAGAATTAGAATAAATAAGATAGTTTATTCTCATTCAATATTAATAAATAGATTATTTTCAAAATTCTACATATCATTCTTATGCATAATTATTTATAAAGTAATTGATCATAAATATCATATCATGATAAAAGTTTTTTAATCTTCTTAAAAACAATGATATTGTTGTTTATTAGGAGCACAATACCTTTCTAATAAAAAAAAATAATTAAAATAAAGGCATGTTAAAGCCTTTCAAAATTTAAGCAGGAAATATATATTTCTCAAATCTAAATTAAATTTCCTTACTAACATATCTTTTTATTATTTTAATGAAAGCATTTTTTAACTAGAATCAATATTAAAAAAAAAGTCATGATTGTAAAAGAAAGTTCAAAAAAATTTATATATCAAATAATTTGTGCATATTTTGTATGTCATTGAAGAATTAAAAAATAATAAATATGATAAAATCATGTGAAAATTTTATATAAAAATTATAAAATTTTGATTTTAAGTGATATTTATGATCAATTTATTATTATTATTATTATTTGCATATTAAGTACATAAAAATTGAAAACAATTGTCAACATTGCAAAGAAAACGTATAATATTATTTAAGAACCAAATTAAAATTGAAAGATATGTGAATTATAAAAAAAAAAGAGAGAATGAATGAAAAAGATAAAGAACAAAAGAAACGAGCTAGACCTAGCGTCTGGCCCTAATAAAAAAAAATAACATGTTTGGGTTTATAGTTTAGACTCATACATCTAGGTTTTTTTCTTTTTTTTTTATTAAGGAGTGGATAACATGTTTCTATTTAAAAAAAAAAAAACAAATGATTTCTTTTGAAACGAGCTAGACCTAGCGTCGGGCCTAAGTAAAAAAAGACAAGCATGTTGGGTCCATAGGGTAGGCCCACACACTTAGTTTTTTATTCTCTTTTTATTAGGGAATGGACATCGCATTCCTATCTTATTTTGAAAAAGAAAAAACAAATAACTTATCTTTCAACTGCTCAATTTCCAACTATTTTAGATTATTAAAAACTCGTTGAAAAGTCAGGTTCTGACTTTAAACTTAAGAAACTTATATTTAACCATTTTTTCCAATTGAAAACACATAAGAAACACTATATAAATAATAATAAACTAATTTATAGTCCTAAAATAACAAAAACTCAATTAAAAAAAATTAAAAATCATAAAATTCCTTAAGCCTCAATATATTTTTTCTAGCTAGATGAAGGCTAAAAATACCACCATCAAACTCTTCTTATTGACAAAAAAAAAAATCATAGCTTTTTTTATCACCAAAACCTTGACAACCAACAACCTACTACTTTTCTCTCTCTTTTTTTAGTAACTTTCTCTTTTTTCTTTTAACCTTGATGTCATGGCTCAATTATGGACTCACAAAAATTATTTTCTATAAAAAATATTTTTTTCTAAAATATGTAAAAATTCAAGAAAATATAAAATATAAAAATATTTTAGGGTACATATAGATAATGGGTTAATTTGTAATTTTCTAATACATATTATTAAGGATTTCATAAAAGCAAATAAAAATTATAAAAATAAGGACCAAAGTTAATATAAAAACTAAATTTTAAGAAATGAAATTGAAAAATAAATATTCAAAACAAAATATATATAGCCATCAAAAATTTGAAGATCAAATTTGATATAATCAGCAAATACTATGACATTTCTAAATTTTTCACAACTTCTGAAAAGTGTTTTCCTCCCAAATTTTTCAGGAAAACACTTTCCTGAAAAACAAGCCAAATTTTTCTTTAACTAGAAAGTGTTTTTCGTTGACTAATTTTCCTAACTGCAAACAAACACAAGAAAGTTTAGAAAGTAATTTTCCAGAAACCACTTTCCGGAAAACAAACACAACATTTCTCAAAAAATACTTTTCTGAAAACCAAGCCAAACTTTTTTTTATTGAAAGTATTTTTTTTCTTGATCAGAAAGTGTTTTTTGTTGACTAGAAAGGGTTTTTCGTTGACTAGAAAGTGTTTTCTATTAACCAACTTTTCTAATGATAAACAAACATAGAAAAATTTGAAAAGTGATTTTCCAAAAACTACTTTCTAGAAAAAAAACATGACATAAAAGAGTTAAAAAGAAAAAAAAAATGAGGATCAAAGCGTGAAAAGTGGAAGGTTGAAAAGTTTTCTTTTCAAACGAGGGTTGCCGAAGATCCAATTGAGGCTTCAATCAAATTTGTTAAAGGAAACAAAATGAACGAAAATCTAATTAGGGATTTAACCTTAAGTTTGATTCTAGAGTTGGTTTTGCATATTTATTTGTTTAAAATCATAAATTTTTAAGAATTGAGTTCACTTTCTAGATAAATAAAGGCAAGATGTAAGTTATCGGTTCCTCAATACTATATAGTATATATACAAAAGTCTTTGTTTTTCAACATCTCTTTTATAAAAAATTCAACAAGTTTTTTAAAGCATTATCATTAAACTTGGTTTGGTTGGGAAATCAACTTAATAATACATCAATAGAGTTTCATTTTAAATTGGATGGTTGGATCAAAGCATAACTTGAATAATGAGATCAAAACTTTGATGGGATTCAATTTCACTTTTAAAAAAATAATCAAAACAACATCAAATTTTTTTTTAAATACAAAACCTATAACATGTAGAAAAACAACTATAGATATGGTTTAATTTACTATAAATTATAATAGTAATCAGATGAAATAACTTTAAGGATAAACGAGTTTTATTTACGAGGTTAATTTATCATTTTTTATTTGTTTAGGGGCAACACTGCCTTTTTAAAAATTTTATAAAAAATAAATTGTTGTCTTACCCTTAAAAGTTAAAAAAAATAAAAACATTAACCTTGGGTTTAGGGGCTTTATAAGGATTTCATTTTACTATAAACAATGTAACGACTTAATTTCCCTTTCAAGTAAAATGTTTTAACCATGACTTTTGGGACTTAGTAGTAGTTTTATAATGGTTTTTTATTATTATCATTTAGTCCTAGAGACATTTTAATCCTTGTCAAAATAGCATAAAATGAAATAAAATGTTAACACATGTAACGTCACCTCATTGCTTTTGGGCGGCACATGTGAATGACTTTGTTGATCGTAGTCATGCTTTTGTTGCATCATTTGATTTATCTCGATATCTTTTTTTTTTTAGGCACGTGCACGGTGATTCAGCCTAATTTATTGCATGTTTGCTTCTTTTTTTTTCATTCTTTTTTGCCCCTTGAAAAAATCACATTAACCCTTCAATTTCTCGTCCCATCATATTTAGTATGTGTTCTCTTAATTGTAATTTGTTAATTTGAAAAAAAATATTCAATTTGAAAATTATTTTTAATTTTATCATTCTTTAATTTTTTTTCATCTCTCAAATTTAATCCTTATTTTTTTGCTTATTATTTTTGTTATTTGAAATGATTTATAAAATTGATTTTTTTTACGTGATTTCATCCTTCAATTTTTTTATCAAGCTTGATCCTCATTCTTTTAATTTATTATTTTATGCTTTGACAAATTTTTAGATTGATTTTTGTTTTTAATTTTATTCATCAATATTAAATTGGTTAGAAATTAACCTTATTGATTAAGTTTGGATCTAAGATTTTACGGGTTATAAACTTAGAATATTAACTTAAATTTAAAAGATTTATCCGGGTTTGCTTCTTCTTTTTTTCATGTTATTGAATTAGGGTTGTCTTTTCTATATTATTAAATTAATCGAATTTATCTTTTGCTTCTTTCATGTTATTAAATTAACTAGGTTATAAGTTTTGTAGATTAACCATGTTTGACCCAAGTCAATCTAACATGTTGACATCTCAATTTTATTTTTTTTAGAAATATATATTGTACAATGTATCATCATTTAAGTATTTCAAAAGTATTTCGGCCAACATGCATTAAGTTTTTTTATTTTCTAACATCTTTATAATTTTTTTAAGGTTGAAAAAAATAATATATAATCCAATGCTTAGAGCAAGTTAAAAAAAAAACATATATATATTAAAACTATATAAATTTAGATTAATCTAAGTCGATACGTCCAACTTGTGACCTATTCCAAGAGTATTTATCTAAGATTATTGACACCTTTGTACTAGTCCTGGAAGTATATTGACTGAATTACGTCTACTTATATTATATAGTGATGGAAAATAGCACTTTAACAATAAAAATAGTGCTATTTACAAATTATAACCGCATAAACAATAATCAATTCCCAAACCTGCAATTACAATGGCGACCTTTACTTCCTATGTTTTTTGGGAGGCGATTCTGGTTCCGTGTGCGATTTAGCTTTTGTAAAAGGAGATTTTAGATTGCAACTACTCAAAATTAGGGAGTTCAGTAACGGTCAGTCCAAAATTCCAGATCAGCAAAACAACAGTAATGTCTATCTAGAAGGGTGAGCACTGAATACATTAGGTTGTTTTGTCATAGCATGCCTGATCCTCGGGCTGAGATAATTAATTAATTAATAATAATAATAATAATAATAATAATAATGGATTTTTTTCCCTACATTTCTGTAGTATATATATCTTACCTCCTAAATTATCTCAAGGAACTCGTGCAAAATCCATCTCTACACTGCTACTAAATAGCTCTGTTACCAGCTCTTCTGTCAGTAGCCTCTCAATTTCCCTACCTATAATATCAACTTCCTCCCTCAAATCCAACCACTGCGATTCCATTTCCAGTATTTTTTCTGCTGCAATGTCCTCGTTAGCTCTCTTATCATGGCTAGCAACCAATTTGCACAGCCTATCCCTGAGTCCATGTTTTATCCACTTGGGACGAATCATAGTTGCAGACCTTACCCAAGGGTGTGAATTTGCATATTGCCGGTAAATCACCAGAAGAGCAAGATTTAGACGGTCAAACAGCAGCCTTCTTTCAGACCTTGGCCAACTTGCATGATTACAGTACTTCTTCTCGACTTCTTCAAAGATCAATGGTTTGACTGGGCATTCTGGGGAGTGCAATGTTCTCAGGAATGTATCAGGGTCGACATCATTAATACCGGAGTCCACCAATACATCTGCTATGTAGGAAAATTCACTGCTCTCCTCAGCTACTTGTGCTGCTTCTGTAAATCCAACAGATCCCTCCTCGACAACTTCATCACCAGAGATGAGCATGTGTCCTTCCTCGTATGCTTCCGACTCCAACCTAAGAAGTTGAAGCTGCATCCGAAGTCCTACAGGCAGGGAAAAACATTAAAATAAGGTAGCAATAATAAGAATTCAATGTAAAATCCCATCAATGGGAGATTTGTTGCAGCAGCAGATCCTTTTTCTCTGAAAAATCACTTTTTTGTCTCGTGTATGAGAATGATATCTGGTTAATCCAAAGTGGCCAAACCACAAAACAATGAAGACAAAGAATGACTGCTCTCTGCATATTATGTGACTTGAATCAACCAAAGTCTCGTTATTTTAAGATTTTAAAACATTTTTACTCGGTGTAACAGAATAATTCCATTCCCAAGGACTCGTTATCATTCTTCCTCTGAAAAAATAAACTAAAAAATGGTTAAGCTCACAAATTCCAAGTGTAGTACTGAAAATGCAAACAGATACAAATTCCAATGAAAATGCAAACTAAACAATAAAATGCAATGACTCAAATCGCAAGTGGAGTTCAAACACTGAAGAATTAATAAACTAAACAGTTTTTCAGATTACCATTCAGGTCGGCGCTGAGACCCTCAAAGCACTCAGAACCAGATGACAGGTCATCTGGAAAAGGAGTTTCAAGAACTGAGACTGGACTGGGCTGATCAGCCTCCTTCGAGCTTGCTGGAGTTTCTACTTCAGCTACAGGGTGCCGCATGGGAATTGAACCTTTCTTAGATGGCCCATTTGATGGTTCCTAAAACATCAAGAAGTGCTGAGATTAAACCGTTCACTATATATTGAAGTATCCATTTCATGGTATATATATATATATATATAGAAAGAGAGAGAGAGAGAAAGAGAGAGACTGAGTATTTAAAAGAAAAGCCAGGCATGTTCAATATTGAGATTGCAGCAAAATTAGAATTATGGCCAGAGCAAATTGTTGGTATTGCTTAAGAAAAAGGATAGCAACAAAAAAAAATAAACTTTATATACATATATGTGTTGTGTGTGTGTGTGTGTAGAGAGAGAGAGAGAGAGAGACACTGAGTATTTAAAAGAAAAGCCAGGCATGTTCAATATTGAGATTCCAGCAAAATTAGAATTATGGCCAGAGCAAATTGTTGGTATTGCTTAAGAAAAAAGATAGCAACAAAAAAAAAAAATTAAACTTATATACATATGTGTGTGTGTGTGTAGAGAAAGAGAGAGAGACACTGAGTATTTAAAAGAAAAGCCAGGCATGTTCAATATTGAGATTCCAGCAAAATTAGAATTATGGCCAGAGCAAATTGTTGGTATTTCTTAAGAAAAAAGATAGCAACAAAAAAAAAAAACTAAACTTATTTTCTTAAACAAAAAAATAAATACTGCAATCTTGCGGTAATCATTTATTAAAAGAAAAGAAACACATAGTTGCTCGTATATTTAAGAATCTACTTTTAAAACTAATGCTGTTGCACATACGTATTCCATGAATTGAAACTCCAATCTAAGGGAAAAGCATAGAGTTTAAATCAGATGTTGTGAATCAAAAACTGTATGCATCTGACTGACAGTTTTTCTGAAACACAGTGGATGATTATTAGGAAAGGGGAGAAGATAAACAAGAAATTTCTCCATTCCTTAACATTGAGATCTAAAAGGAAAAACACACTGCAGCTCAAAGTTTCTATCTATGGTGCTCATAATATGTGAGCATGCACATGCGTCATCCACAAAAGATAAAAACCATACCTTTGAGCTTGAAACTTGATCACTAGCAGAGGAATTGCCTTCTACCAACATATAAGTTGATGATTCTCGGTCCATAGGCTTAGATTGCATGGCTTTGTTCTCAATTACCACATCCACCATATTTTCAAAAACTAAGCCTGTGTCTGTGACAATAGAAGCTGGTGTCTCTGAAACTGTACAAATTTGTTCCAGTGAATCATATTCTGCAATGTCACTCTGCACTTGATCCTGGCCAAAATTAATATCCAAGGAAGTCTCACCGTGATATCTATACGAGCAGCTAGACATGTGAGATTTCTTAGAACGAGATCTGGAATTTCTAGAAGAAGAACATTCTCTCTTACTGAAATTTCTTTTTATTGTTCTGTTTCTTTCCTGCCAGATCACTTGTCTAGGGATCATATAACTGTCATGGGAAACATTTTCACGGCGCTTGTCTATTCTAGGACTTCTGATAATATTAGATGAAGCAAGCACAGATCTTGATCTCAAAAGATTCCCAGTACCCACATCCTTCCAGCCTTCCCTGCTGCTAATACCCAAAGGTTCATCCCACCTAACTGTTTCATGATTGCAATCAACTTCATCACTGAATACTTTTTTAGAGATCATGACATCTGAATTTCCTAGCCTTGTTCCCAAGTTGGGGGTAGCAAGCATTTCACCTAGTGTGCTGCTCTGACTAACAATTCCCATGTCCACAGACTTATGAGTCAGTTTCCACCTCTCTGAGAGTCTCTTCCTGGCCTCTCTGTTCAACGATGATTCGTTAGAGCACGATGATGAAGGTCTGCATCGGTTACTCCAATCAATGGAATTTCTGGAATTCACTGCTTTCTCCTCTGATTCATTTGCAGACTCATTCTCAGTTGAACTGTCATCCCCGACATAGCCTCTAAAACCAGAAGTTGAAAAATTCATGGAGCTGTTTATGAAATTTCTTCTCATTTTCCTGGTGATTTCCCTTGCAATTTCCCTAGATTCTCTAGACTTATACCTTGAGGGCCCTGCATCATCAGGAACACTTTTCTTTCCCCATGACACCACCTCCTTGTTCTTGATACTAGGAGGTTCAGTGTGTTTCCTACAATCTGAAGGTGATGCATGAGAAGATTGAGATGATGAACTATTTTTATTAGAATTCTGCATTTTGCCGATATTTGGTTTCAGAACAACAATCCTCGTAGGGAGAATGGCGGATTCGTCTTTCTGATCCAGTTGAACTTTTGACAACTTGACTGGATTCTGAGCTTCAAGTTTACTATAAGAGTAGCTATAAGAATCAACATGAGGTTTTCTTTGATTCTTCAATGGGTTTTCTCTCTCAGTATTACAGCCTAGGCCACCACTCCCACAGTGTACAGGATATGATGACTTCTTAGCTGGTATGTGAGTCCGGCCACAATGGGATTGTGGAGGGATACCTTGTAAATCATGCAGATGCTTTGTGAACAAAGAATCTGGCTGCTGAAGATATTTCAGCAAAAGATCCTTGTTGGAGTCCAGATTCTCAGTAGCATCAAGAAATTCCTTTGAATTCTGAAGTTTTTCATCAGTAAATAGCCGTTTAGCATCCGTAAATTTCTGCTGAATGAATGCAATCTCAGCTGCTGTGATCTCTGAGTGTCCATTTCCACATGATGAGTAACTACTACTATCCATCTTTGATGCGTCTAAAACTTCAAATACATCTTTAAATTCTTGCTCATTCTTGGAGCTTTTTCTGGATGACCGCCGACCATATGAGCCTCTGTTTCTTTGAGCTTTCTCTGCCAATACCATCGTATAGTTCTCCAAGGATTTCTTTGGATGCATATGAGAAGATTGCTGCTGTGGTAGCCCATCAAGGCCCATCAATCTGGCAATAACACTCGGAGACCTTCTGGATTCAGATTCTCTTGACATATCTTCTGCTAATAACTTCTTTGTTGGTGTTCCAACCGCCTTTTTTGGAGATCTCCACCCCAACCCACAAGAGAACTACAAGAGCCAAGAGATTCAAATCACAACAATGAATACAAGTAATCAATAAAATACACACAAGAAAAAGGCTGGCATAGAAGAAATTCACAATTCATACAGCTGAGCAGGGTTGCTTTTAATAAGTTTTGCAAAAAATAGAAGCACATAAATCAACACACCAGTTCTTTAAAATATAGGAATCACCACTCTGAGAACTAGAATCAGAGGTCAAATATGGGAAGTTTCTCGGTTTCCGAACCGGCCCCTTTCCTGGAAATGAATTTCTTGTACACCATTAGGATTGCTGTCACAAGTAAAAGGGAAGGAGGTAGCAAATTTAAAATCTTCAAAATATTATTTGCAAAAATTAAATAATCCAAACCAGAAATCATCAATTAACTGTCATTTCGAGCATGCGAAGCTTAAAAATAATAAAATAAAAAACATAATAAAAAAATCGAATATGGTTAATGAATACAGTTTAAAGAAATGCAAGGATGTGTTTTTATAGCCAGAGAATTAGTAAAAGAAGAAGCAAGCAAAATAATGGGCATGCCACTACAGAGAAAAGATAATTAAAAGGTCATAAAGTAACTCAATCAAAAAACTGCTTTAACAAAAGCAAAGAAACAAAGCCAAAAGCTCAATCTAGCTCCTCATCAACCTCTACAATGCACACACAAATAGTAGCAAAAAGATTAACACTATAATTTTTATAAAAAAATTCGGAATTTCAACTATTATTTAGCTCAACTGCCTGAGAAAATCTGAAGAGAAACGAACAAGAGACTACTTTCCTTTTGCGTTACTTTTGTTACTGAGCACCATCAATGCAGAAGAAACAGACTCTGCTAGGATGCTTGAGAAAAATGCAGGTGAAAAAAATAAAAGAATAAACTTCCACCACATTTCTAAGCTGAAAATGTGTAATAAAACTAGTTTACCTTTTCTGCTAAGATTATGGGTATGAAGATGAGAAATACGCAAGAGATTGGACCTTCTGAGCTGAAATATTTCCATGGTTATCACTCATTACAAGAAAAAGATTAAAGATTATTCAAGCATGTAGTGCAATGTAGCAGCAGAAGAAATCTTAGATCGGAAATCCAGCAAAGAAGCAAGCGAGAAACAGAGAGCAAGGATCCAAGAAAATCATATAATTGAAACTAAAAGAAGAGAATTCAAAAAAATATATATATATATATATATATATATATTCAGCTTTTTTAACGCCGAAAATAGATTCAGTTACCGGATCTTGAAAAAAAATATATATAGATTTTTTTTTCTAGAAAGAAAGAAGGAAAATAAATAAATAAATAAAGATGGAGAGCGTGGTGGTTACAAGTGTCGGGGAGAGAGAGGGGGGCGGGCGGTGTATTTATTTGTTTCCTTGAACATTCAAAAAACAGAGAGGCTGACACGGTAGTTGCAGCGAGGGCGGGCAAGTAGTAAAGTGACGAGAGTGTTCGGCATGGCGGACGCTCGCTGATTTTTAATATATTAAAATAAAGAAATATTTTAAAAAATAATGTTTATTAAAACAATCTCTGTACGGGTGGTGGTTGTCGTTGTTGCTGGGAGGTGTATAAGTATCATGCGACCGTGATTTTGGTTACACGTGTATTGAGACATTGCTGCCACGTTCATTTTCTGGTGCATCTTGTTTTTTTATTTTATTTATTTATTTTTTTAATTTGAGGTTTGTATTCTTGGCTGTTTTTAGTTATAGTAGTCAGTTTTGTTTTGATTCGGTCGGAATTGGAATTTTCTAAAGCCGTAAATAGAGAAAGTGCGAATTTCAGATGGTTATCGTCTACATCTGTCTATTTGCCGTTAACATGCATTGAAATATGTAGGTTTGATATTGGTGTGTGGGGTTTTTTTGAAAAAAAGAACGTAAAATATATTGTTCATTTTAGAAAAAATCATTAGGAGGAGGATATTTGGTAGGGCGTTTTAATTTTAATTGATGTTTCTTAAAAAAATAATTTTTTTATTTAAAATTAATTTTTTATTTAACAAGAATATATTTAACTAATATTAACAAAAACTTTAAACCATGTGTATTTTCACTATAATAATATAGTTTATTGTAGATTGTTATATTAAAATTATTTTTTTTACTCTCAAAGTTAAAAAAAAAGTGTAATGATATTAAGAATATTTTAGTCTTTATAATTGCTTCATTAGTAATTAAAAGGTTGTTTAGTGTGAATTAGTATTTTTTTGTTATTCAAGGGTTTTTTAGTCTTTTAAAAAACATTGAAATAATTAAAACACCTATTTACTTCTAAAGTAAAAAAAAAAAAATGTTGACCGAGGGATTTTTTGGTTTTTACACTTTGAAATATAGTAGAAATACCATTATATCCTTAGAAAAGACAGAAATTAAAGCATGCCTCTAGGGGCATTTGTGTACTTTTACTATTTTTGAATGATTTTTAGGTTTATGAAAGACATTATGGTATTTTCATGTTTTGAAATAATTATTTTATTTACAAAAAATACTTACATGTCAAATTCACTCACCATCAAGTAAGTGTCATTTGATGTGTTTGAGTGGCGCGTGTAAACCTATCTAGTAGCTAAACCTATTTTTTTATCATGACATTGTATATATTGTTGTGTCTTTTTTCTTATGACGCTACATATGTTGATGTATTATGATTAGTTTATTGCTTGTGATTATTTTTTTAATTCTTCTTTTTAATTTCTCTTTCTTCTCAACAAAATAAAAAGCACCATTATTTTTTTAGATTTGTCAATTTAAGTTTTTTTGTATTATTGTTTATTGTTGTCCTCCATCCTATTATAAAAATTTTAGTTATTTTCAATTATTACTTAAATTATAATTTATCATATATTAATTTTTTTAATTCAGTTCTTATTTTTTTTTCTTGGTTTTCTTATTCAAGTTTTGTTGGTTTTTAATTTTCTCTTTCAATTAAAGTTTTTTTTTTATGGTTTTCAATTTAACCTTCATTCTTTTTATATATTTTTTTTGTTAAAGTTTAATTGTTTGTAAATTAACCCTCTATTTTAAAATTTTTTGATACCCTCTAATTTATTTTTATAAATTAGCCCTTTAATTTATTTTTTTATTTCAATTTTCTTTCTTATTCTTTTAATCATAATTTTTTTGTGATTTTTTCTCTTCTATTTCATCCTTTAGCCTTTGAGTTAACGTGGAATGGGCTTTGGGGCTTTTTTATTTGTGATGTTTCTGATCTATTGATATAGATAACGTGTTTGATAAGTTCATGCGGTTCAAGATCTTTTTTTTTTAATTTCTTTTATAATTTAAACATTTAATATTATTAAAAAAATTGATTTTGTGGTTATTTTTAATTTCTTCTCTATCGATTTATTTTAGTTTCATGTCCTAATTTATTAGTTTTGCATACCTTTTTTTAATAAAGTTTTTTTAAATTAATTTTTTGTATTGAATTTTTGAATGATTCTTTTTATTTTATTATTTTATTCAAGTGAGTTTTATTTTATAAAAAAATATTTATTATTAAATAATATTTCTTATATGTTTGGCCCTGCATGATGTTTTTAGTTTCATATTTATTTATGTTTCTGTTATCTTTTATTGATTTTAATAAGTAAATTCAGTATATACATTTTATATGTCATCCCACACCATGTAATAAGAGTTCCATCATATTAATTAGTAAGAGATAACTAGGCAACCTCTTTGAAATAAATAGGTCTACCATTATAGCATATAATTAATAAGAGTAAAATAGAACATACAACACAAAAGGAAAAAAAAAGAGAAAATGAGGCAGATGAACGGTTTGTCTTTATTTTTTGTTTTTTAGCTTGTTAACTATTGGATTGGACTAAGATTTTGGCAGAAATTTCTAGACATGTTACTTTTCATTCTGAACAATCCGATAGAAGATTGATGATATATAAACTATTCGTTTTGTCAAAAACTGAGGCTGTCAGTGTTGTAAATTTTTCTCAAATATTTTTTTTAATTTTATTGTATTCCAAGAATAAATCGTTTTTTTATGGTACGAATGTTGTAACCCAAGGTTAAATATGAGGAGTAATAATTTTGAACTCATTATTTGTTGATAGTGGATGCTTTAGGTGGATTACGATCTCGTGACTTTTTCTCGCATCAGGTTTTTCACATAAAAATCTTGATGTTATTTTGTGTGATTGTTTGCATTATTTTATTGGTTGTTTTATTCTAATTTTGATTGCATAAAGAGCAAAAAGAATTGGGATTTGTGAATTGTAAATTGTGAATTTAGCAAAATTGATTTTCGGTTATTCTTAGTTTTTTCAACAACACAGAAAAATAAATATCTTATTTTATATAATCAAATATTATGATTTATATCCATCTCTTAAATTTTTCAGTTTTTCTTTCGTATATCCATCTCTTAAATTTTTCAGTTTTTTTTTTTTATTATTGTTAACAATTTTTTATATTTATATAAATGATTATTGGCTTATTTATTTAGATATTTTCATGGTTTTTTATTTATATTTTAATTTTCATTATTATCTTTCCGCAAACAAAATTATGAAATTATATACATTTCTTCCAGATTATGAAAGGTAAGTGAATGGAACGTAACTAAATCTCTGAAACATATATATATATATACATACATATATATATATATATATGTATGTATATATATATATGTATGTATGTATGTATGTATGTATATATGTATGTATGTATATTGTTGAACGGTAGTGATTGATCAAATCAGAGTGCAATCGCCATCAGATTTGTACGTAATTAAAAGTGAATTTATTGCCAGAGGTTAATTAGGTGAAAAGGTTTGATCAAGAACCAAAATTGTCAACTTATGCCTAATTGACACACTTTCTTTTAGCAGAAGGTTATCATGTTCTGTGTGCTGGCATTAATGTTCTTATTAAAAAAAAAAAAACTATTCTTGTATAGGTGATTGAGGTTATTGTCATTAATTAATGTTTACAAAGAAATTAAAAGAAGTTTTAGGTTACGTTTTCAAGTGAACAAGTTGCATTTCTTGGATTTGAACCCAAGAAAAGGAGAGGGGATTTGGCAATCTTCTGGTTTCTTTGAAACTTTGTTCTAACTGATATATTTTAAAAATTAATTTTTTTAATAACTATATATATATATAATAATTTTGAATATTAAAAATAATTTTTAAAAAGTAAAAAAATATTATTTTAATATATTCTTTAAATAAAAATCATTTTTAAAAAAAAATTATTCCACCTGGTGGAGTTTAGCCACAAAATCTTAGTTTTTGTTCGTGAAGGTGAGCAACTTCATTGATCAAGATAATCCATCTCATGTTTGCTAACTTCAAAAGGCAATCTATGATCTCAAGCAAGCATCTCGCACATGGTATCATAAATTACGCACTTTTCTTATTAACTCTAGGTGAAACATCTCTATTTGTCCTTCAAAGTGCTGACCATCTTATGTATATGTTAGTTTATGTCGATAATCATTGGTGACAATTAAGAGATGGTCAATTCCTTTGTGCACGCTCTTAAGGATCTTGGGTCTCTCTTTCATGTTTTTCGAGGTGAAAGTTGTTCCAACAGAGCAAGGTGTACTGCTATCTCAACTAAGATATATTATGGATCTTTTAGCACGCACTTGTAAGACAGATGCTAAGCTTGTTCTCACTCTAATTCCAACCAGTCCCTCGCTTATGTTAAGCTCTGGTTCCTCCTTGTCTGATCCTACAGAGTATAGATATGTTGTTGGTAGTCTTCAAAATCTTCTGATTACTAGACCTGACATTGCCTTTGCAGTTCACAAGCTATCCCAGTTCATGCATCGTCCCACAGATGAACACTGGACTTTTGTTAAACATCCGCTTTGCTATTTATGTGATGCACTTAATGACGGCTTACAGCTTCATATTGGTCACCACTAATCACTGGTCACAATTAAGAGTTCACAATATATGTGAACTTGATAATGCCTGCAACAACTTGCAATTACAATGAGAAATGACATTTAGTGTCTAGAGGGAAGTACAAGGAGGATCTGCCACGAAAAGCCTGCTTATAGAGCTTTGCCCAAGAACACAAGAGACTATTGTGAACTCCAGTGTTGAGCTTTCCACCAAGTCAAAGAATGGCAAAACAACCCGTGTTAAGATTGATCATAGGGGATCCAGGTGTTCTCAGCCTGTAGGCAGACCAGTACCGCCTCCAAGACTCTTTGCAAGCACTTGCAAAGATGCTCTAAACAACCCTATATTGCTGCAACTTCGACAATCCAAGGCGACAAACATTGCCATAATGACAACTAAAAAGTTCATCCTACTGCTAACTTCATTCTGTAGAAATGGCCCCAACAGTGTTACTGAACAATTTAATTGCCTTCAGAAACATTTACCAGGCAAGCAAAAACATAATGCTTCCATGCACAGAAGAGTCAAAAGATAATTAATAGCTGAATTACTCGAATGCATTAATATACAAGGCATCTCCTAAAAAGCACTTAGAAGCACACATTGCCCAGAAACACAAAAACTAGCTCACCCAAATCCTCATCCGGATAGAATGCAGAAAGTATAGGAATTAGAATTCACTCTGCGTCGTTATAAAAGTGGAGTTCAATCTTTTAGTTGACAATGGGACCACTACGATTTTTGGGAAGCATGAAAAGCTAGAAATAACAAGGCCCACATGGTTGAATGCTTGACCCTTTATTACAGGGATTGCATTGCAATTTGTCCTACCATAGCAAGTTGAGAAGAGAATGACGGGTCATGATTCTGAAGAATTTCTGTTAAATTTGGCTGAGGGATGATTAGGAATAATCGTTTGATGGAGTAACGTAGCACTTCAAGGGCATGGAGAAGATCAAGCATCATGGAGGAAGAAAGTAGTTTATGATGAATAACGTAGCTATTGGACTGAGTGACTGAAAAGCCAGGTTCAGAGAAGACAATCTAGCATCAATGAGGATGCCCAACTGCATCAGTCAATAAAAATGTACTTCATCTTGTTGTTTCAACCTGATGAAGTTCAAAATACACACAAATCGAGTATTTTCTGACCATCTTAAGTATCCACGTATAAAAGAACCAAAAATGCTTTGCTACTCATTGTTCTCACTAGGACATGCAACATCACTGATAAATACCACAAATTCTGAATCTGAATACTGACGATTTCTAGAAACGATAAATTCAAAATCAAGCATTTCCACATACATTTGCATCCAAGGTATAATGAAAGACTTCAATTTCCATTCAAACTCTAATTAGATGCTACAACACCAAAGCCATAAATATAAGCACGGGTGGCCTATTTGTGGGAGCAAGCCACCCCCTACACACATCAATTTTTTGGATAAGTAAAACTTCATACCTATAGAAAGTTTGTCATTAGGCACCCATAGAAAGTTTCATTGTCACTGCACTTTGTCCCTAACAAAAATGCATTGTCTCTTCACCTATTTAAGCAGCATATCCAGTACCCTTCCACTAGGAACTACAAAAATTCAGGGACAGGCAGTCATCCACTGTAACTCCCTCTGACTACCAAGGTATTTAGCTAAACTGAACTAAACACACAAAATAAATAAATAAATAAATAAATAAACACAGAAATTTCTACCTTGATGTTACCATACCTCAATTCGTTCAGCAATTATTCTAGACTACAGGGCCGAATTTTCTTGCTCTCTACTCTCTCCAGAAAGAACTTAGTTGCACAAGTTATCAATCAAATATTCCCTATACGGACCAGGAAATAAAATCACTTGAGGAAATCAAAACTTCAATTAAAATTCTACAGAATCCATGCACAGGAAAGGGCAACAAGAAGTGAATCTGTTTTGTAGAAAAAATTATGTACCTAATAAATAGCATCTACCATGAGAATGCACTGCTACAGGAAAATTGAGATACTCATGAATCATTTTACATGAATTAACTAGTTGTTAACAACACAAGCTTGCAGACTACCAATTCAACCATCCTAAAGGCCAGTGGCACATGGAACTGAAATGAAATCGCAGGCTCTAAAACTTGAATTCTTTATGGTCATATATTCTCTATAATCATTGGATTAACATGACATTTTAGCTTGACTTTAACCAAATAAAAGATTGTTTCACTAAATGATACCTGTACAATCTGAAATTTCAGTGAGAAAACATGTAGTTCCTAACAGATATGCTAAGTGGAAAGCACAAGTACAAACCGCCCTGGCAAAGCCTGATCACCCCAAGTTTGCCAAGAATAGTAAAGACACCGTAATGCAAACTCCAGCATTTGCCTACCCTATATGTTACAGAGTTCAAATTCACTCGGCCTCGTTATTTTTCTTTACAGGTTTACAGAGATGGTAGATCCCTTCAACACCTTAGTACAAGCCTGACATGTATGTTCAGCAATCAAAGAAGAAGCTCATGGCACAAAGCCATTTAAAAGTTCCTCCTACTGCCAACTTTATACTTAGGAAATGGCTTTTTCAGTCCTACTTAACAAGTTGATAATACAAAGTACACATAAAGCACCACGGAGAAAAACTAAAACACCACATATCTGAGTGAACAATAATTTAAAGACAATAAATAGCCTGCAAGCAAAATATAGCGCCTCTAATCCAGGATAATCACCACATCTTCAAAAAGGCACTTTTGATGCCCATTTCCAAGTACCACAAAGGCTAACAGCTTTTGAATTAGCACATAAGCATTGTTAGGTGGATCTAACAACCACTAAGAGGTTTTAGAATTCACTCTGTGTTCTTACCTAAGAGGAATTTATTGCAATAGCAGGACTAAAATTTACTGCAGGGGAGAAAAAGAGAAGCAACAAGGCCAGTGCAGTTTTATCCTGGAACATTTATTATGAAGAACTGCACTTGCTTCTACATGGCAAGTTGAGAAGAGAATGTCATGTCATGACAATGAAGGTTTTATTTATTTATTTATTTATCTATTTTTTGTTGAATTTGGCTGAGGAATAATTAGGAATTAACAGGTCACTTGAAGTAATTTAGCACTTCACAAACATGCAGAAAAGCAAGCAAATGGAATGAGAAGCTGGTTTCTGATGATTAACATGGTCATTGTTCTGAATGTTGGCAACACTCAGGTTCAGATAAAATAAGAACTAGCACCTAATTTGCTCACCCAATACAAGGTAAAATGGGTACCTTTTTCTTGCTAATGCAGCTAATGAAGTTCAAAATACACACAGCATGAAAGTATTTTATTCTCCAAATACACACAACATGAAAGTACTTCATCCTCCTCAACCAAGTAGCAAAGAACTAAATGATTTTGCAATGGTATAATCTTGGCAGAACATACATCAGCAATCAATACCTTGATGCTCGTACAAAATTGTAAAGACTCAACAAGTTAGAAGATAAATTTTCAACTGCGCAATGGTCATTTCTACAAAGCCACAAATTCTCATGCATTCCCTTAAAAATTTGCATATTAGCTAAAGACTTTCATGTCCACGTCATAAACATTTGAGCTCTCAGTAGATGCTAGTTTACCAAAGACATAAATATATATGCAATACCATACCAAATAGATAAAAAGCTTCTTCCCCAAATAACTAGCATATGCATAGTCATCTTCATTTTTAAATTTGAAACATTTTGAGACTGATAGTCATTCATGGACACTTCCTCCTATCAGCATGGCAATTAAAATCTTAATTAACCACTATCCAATTCATTTAACAGAATCCAAACCAAAATCAAACTAAAAGCAATAAGAAATAAGTTGCAACCTTGTCAATATCCTCATCCTCATCGCATATAGCCACACCCCTCAACTCCTCTCCCTCTCTACCTTGTCCGAAAAGAACTTAGTAGCAAACATGTTATCAACCAAATACTCCCTATAAGGATGATTCTTTGGAACAAGCTTTTTAAACTGATCAAACTTTTTCTCCGCTTCATCTTTCTTCCTCAACAAAGTATAAATGATCCCTTGACACAAATACGGCCTAAAATCCCTCGGTTCCTCTTTCACCAACTCCTCATAAACCTTCAATGCATCAAGATACTTCTCCTCGATTACTCTAACTTGCGCAACCAACAACTTAAAATCCCGCAAATCCGAATTCTTCTTTTCTTTTTTACACTTATCCATTGCACTCTCTATTCTTTTCAACACAACTTCCAAGGAACCACCGGATTCCGAATTCGCCATTACAAGGCCATGATAAGCCTCCACGCGAAGTGGATCTTTTTGTACAATCGCTTCAAACCCATCTTTAGCAGACTCAAAATCTCCACTGTAAATGTAAATTTGTGATTTCAACAATGGCCATTCATCTTCATTTGGCTCCAGCTCGATTAATCGATCAACAACTTCAATTGCTTCAAGAAGTTTCTTTGATTTGATCCTCACCTCCATGAGAGACCGTAGAGCTTCAATATCATTGGGGTTTTGAGACAGATAGTCTTGAAGAGTTCTCTCCTGTTCTTCATAAGAAACATTTTCTTTCGAAGATTCCTTTGTGGGGTCTACTGTGGATGACGCGGTAAGCGGGGAGGCGATTGCTGGTTTGATATTGAGGCGAATGAAGAACAAAGCGGCTGCCGCGGTGAGAGTGATTGAAGTGGTTTTGATGATGGTGCCAAGGTTTTTATTGAGTGGGGTGATGCGGGAGGAGGAGTAGGAGGAGGCTCTGATGGAGGTAGAGGAGAGTTTGAAGGGTGACGATGATGAGGGAGGTGGGGTTTTGAAGGAGAGGGAAATGATGGGTTTTGGAAATGATGGACGGTGGGGATTGAGTGAGAGATTAAAGGGTTTGTGACGGCAGTGCAGTTTAGCAGCTGACTCCATTTTTTCCGAACGAGAAGGCTAAAACCTAAAACCCTGGTGATAAAAGGAGGGGGCAACAGTGCAAAACCCTGGGCCTGGAGCGGAGAAAAAGGAGATGCATGTGCCAGTTTTTGTACAGGAAGAACGAACGGTCATTACGCTGCCGTTTTTAGATTTTTGATGAGTTATGGGCCAATTTGATTATAGGGTTCACGTTGAGGACCGATTCGCTCCAAGGACTCATCATTATATTATTATTATATTAAATTATAATATTATTTTTAACTGTTCTAAATTCAACGTGCACGCACTTCTAATTTATTATTCATTCATTCACTATGCACTTTGTCTTTGTTTATATTTTGGTTTCCATAGTTTGCAAAGTTTACAATTCAATCATAAAAGTTTATTTTCTTTGTGTTTAGTCCTTGAAAGTAATTAGGAAAAAAAAAGAGAGAAAAAGATTTTGAACAACCACATTCCATCAATAGA